CGGGACCATTGTAACGACCGGTTAAATAGCAATGATCTCTTACTCGATTATCGTCTGGCGCGAAAGGCTTTTCACACACGTGACAATGCGTCGCGCTGTACAATGTCTCCCGCTGTTCGCTCGACAAAGTTTCCATGGGGACATTAGCTACTAAAATTTTTTTTACGGAATGTGCTAAACTTCTCAGTTCTTCAACGAACCATGAAACGCAATCCGGATCGCGACGAAATCGATATTTTGATAGCGAATTGTCGTATGAATAGCGCACGTAATATCCTATGCTAAATACTTGATGATGATGATGATACGTGACCGTAGATGCTTCCTGATCGCCATCAGTTTTCTCGAGGATGCATTTTAAATCAGCGTAAACGACAAATGGAACTCGTTCCTTCCTATTATAGTTGTTATATAAAACTCAGCCACTTGTTGTCATTGCTCGGTAGTCGGATAGCGCAGTCGTTTATCCGTTGGCAATCTACTATGTGTAACTGCAATCTATCGTTGGAATGAAAATAATGTAAACAGCTGCAAATAAAAAATAAATAACGATTTTTTAATTTTATTTTTTAAAAAGAATTCGCTTTTATTAATCATATACTTATCGATCGCAAATGTACTTTTGGCCGTTATGTTTGTTCAATTGCTTGCTCATGAGCCGAGACAGATTCTTGATCCATGCGAAATGGCCCACATTGTCGTCTCGCGGATCTCGCAAATATAGTAAATTGACATGTTTCTCCTTTTTGTCGTTGGTGAGTCGTATCAGGAGAACGTTTAGCGTATTTTGTCTCTCGATAACATATACGTTAATAGACACGTCGTTGAGACGTTCGAATTTCGTTACGTCTTTTAACGTTATAGGAAATTCTATATTTTGGAAATTCAGCACCGTCGTATAGTGTGGGTAGGAAGATTCGCGATCCGCGTTTCTTTTGGCTGGGTACAGAGCGGCGACCACCGACCACGCGAAGCATGCATTGTCCATCGATCGCACGTTAATCACCGCTCTCTTTGTCATTATCTCTCGCGGCACTTCGAAGCGACATCCCGCGCGCAATGGATTACACTTATTGATGTTTATTGTAAGATTCATGATTCGCGACAATGCCCACCCACTGTCACGTTCTTGAAACTCCTCCAAAGATGCCAACGTAGGTTCGATGACGTGCCGCTCGTACCACTCACGCAAGTTCGATGTTTGAAAGAGTTCGTAGTTTTTAGTATTAATACTTTTATTGGCACGTTTATCGTCCGTCGCAAATTCGCCGTTAAATATGGTGTTCACTTTTATACAGTTGTCTTTCTATTGTATCTTGCACTCGCTCGAGCACTACACTGTTGATGTCTTCTAAAAATCGTCGCGGCTAGATATAGTTCGCGTTAATTACCGCACCGGTTAAAATTCTATTTTTAAACGCCGCATCGATCTCTCGCCAAAAAAAGATCTTTCCACGTTATTGTCACTGTTATTGCTAGTGCTCGCGTAATCACCACCAAAATGCAGAAATCGTCTTTCTAATTGAGTCTTCGTACCCTCGAGTCGTGCAATTGTAGCGATTAGAGATTGCCCCCCTGCATCCAATGGAGAGCCGTGGATGCTTGACATGATTGCATTCTTCAAGCTGGTTAATTAATTCATTGCACTCTTCTATCCACGCGAAACACTCCCTCAAGTTAGCAATTTGGTGGGATTGATTCAACAGATCGCTCTCTGCTTGATTGAAATCTCGATCCATGTTTACAACGATTTACTAACAGTAAAGTAAGACGAGTTCGCTCTCGTAGATTTCAGCGTACTATGATCTGACACATTTCTAGACTGAATTCATTTTCGTCTGCAATTCCCTCTTTTCAGAGTAGAGCATTATGTGCTCATTTTTCAAAGAATGTTTAAAAAAACGCTCTACCCTCATAAAAGTTTACGAAAATACAATTCTATCGAGTTTCACTTACCTACTAACCTTGATACATATTACAAAAACATGTTCGATTGTCATGTCCCTTCCAAAAAAAAAGAATAAAGGATTGAGGCTCTTTTATCAAGGAAGATATTGCGTTTCATATCATCGATTTCGATAGCAGCCAGATACTGGCGCTCAATCGATTAATTATGAAACTTGATCGTATTTAGGTATTTAAAATAATTAATAAATGTTGTATCTAGAAAAATTACATTACGCTATATCTTGATCGAAAAACCGTTGGAGCATATACCGGTGAATACTCTTTGTAAAACTTTTCGTTTTATAACTATCTGTTTTTTTGTTGTTCATGGCAATATTTCCTTTTTTTGTGATGTTTTTTGTTGTCTTGTACGTGCCTGCAGTCCCCAAAATCTCGGATGCCTTACTACCACTCCGCATGACGTCATACGCCGCCACCGAAGAATCCCCCGCGCCCCGCATTCCCCTCGGAGTTCCTGAGTTAGAACTCTCATATATATACTACTCATATATATAAAAAACATTTTTTTTATTAAATTGTAATGAACAAAGTGTTAATGAATCTTTTTTTATTATTATTTCGTAAACGATCATATATGTATAATATATGTATATAGCTAAAAATTATAAAAAATCTGTGAAGTTCGAAAAGCGTACAATATTATAATTATTTAATATTAAAATATAAATAAAACAAAATATAATCAGAAGAGCTACGAGCCAGAACAAAACAAATTTTAATGTACATATGATACAATTAATATTAAGTAAAATTAAAGTAAAAACAAAATAAAAATATGTCTACATCAAACTAAAAATATGTTTACATCAAACTAACGTTTCGACCACCTTCGGGTCATTTTCAAAGTTATAAACAAGTATGTATATGAAAGCGGTTGACTACGATAGATCAACATAGATCACCAATATTATAGAAGTACAATGAAAATAATTAAAAATAGATCTTCATTGTTCAGCCCTTGATTTCAGTTATATGTAGTCGATGGAAGGTAGATCCTGGATTTACGCCAACATTCAAATATCGCTGAGTATCCAACAATGAATAGACGTAATTATCAAAAAATAAATCCTGGATATACGCTATGGTTCGATTACAAAAAGTATTCGCCAAATATAAAAAAGTCGTTGATAATACCATTAAGGAAGCCAAATACAGCCACATACAGAGTGGTCCTCGTCGCAAATTTGCTTAAATTTCCTGTTATTTACAAATATTTTTATGGGATATATAAAATAATTTTACAGCAATATCTAGTTGCTCAATGTATTATTTATTTATTATAAGTGCAAAATACGTGCAATATTTGTAACTGATCTCAAAATTTAAAGTGTTTAAAAAGAGTGCATTCGTGTTATAAGTATATCAATAATAAAGATCATAGTAAGTACATAATTTTATAGATAAAATGATTCATAACAGTTCCTTTACGATGTCAATAATTCTATCATAATAGTTATCCTTTAAAACCTTCCTGTAAGAAAATTAACTTAATTATTTATATACGAAGTCCTAGAAATTATTAAATTATTTGTAAAGATCTTTTACAACGTCTAACGTTTAAAATTAATATCCATAACTTACATTGATGCACATTCCGTGATTTTTTTTTAACTTATGAGGGACAAATAATACATATCGAACTTAGTAAACTTCCTAATAAAGGTATCTTGCATAAATCACCAATAACGCAACCTAACAATTCAAGTACTATTCTCTGCAACATTCAAAGGAATTCTCTATACATAAAAGCAATAGTGATTTTCGTTTATCAGTATTATATATATTCTATCATAAACATAATATAAATTAGACAATATTATTCATTTATTTATTTTCGTAATATTTAGTCCAAATTGTTAATTTTAATATATAATTAATACAATTTCATAATCATATATATTAAAATAGTTCTAAACTTTTAAAGTATTATGATATTATTTTTTATGTTTATACTGAAAAAACACATATTTTATGTATAACCCCTTCAAACTTTTATTACATACACAAATAATAGTTTATCCTGAATATAATTTTAGCGTGTAAACACAGTTGTATAATAAAATTATTTATATGTACTTTTTTAATTACTTGTTATAATACATATTATTTTCTATATTCTAATAATAAGCATAACTTTCAAATGTAATTTAGTTTTATATAATCCTTACCACAATATTTCCTATAAGATTACAGTTTTCAGAAGAACATTGTCCTCGATCAAGTATCTAATAAAAAAAGTATAAGACTTAATTAAAAGGAATTTATTAAACTTTTTAGATAATTTAGCTGATAATTTCGAGTACAAAATTAATAAAATATGTTAAATAAATAGTAAATTCTAATGTATGAATTTGAACTAACATTTTCGCTCTGTAAATTAAATATTTAAAAACTTCTAATGTTTCAATATCACATTTTTCAATGCAATTAGAAGTTCTTAAAGTGCTGTTGCAATTATTACTTTTTTAACGTATCATAAATATTATTTAAAACAATATTATATTTATAAGAGAGAGTGTGGGGTAAAATAAATAGGTACATACCCTGCCTGCACTATACGTAACAGAAACGTACTATTTTGGTCGCAAAGTCGCAGAAAATATGTAACGTCTCTTGCACATCGCAACGACGTGCGTAGACATGCTATTTTAATGGCAAAATCGCAGAAAATATGTAACGTTTTTTGCACGTCGCATAGACGTGCATAGAAAATATAATGTACAGTTGGTAAAATTGATTCTCGAAGAATCTATGGCGGTGTTTAGCGCGAATAAATATAGGAGTCAGATTGGATTGAGTTTACAAACGACAGTGTACAATTAAAAAGTAATTGTTTTTTATTCTTTTATAATTATAATTTTTGTGTATAGTTTCTCTACGCATAATATTCTCTTTTTCCGCTATTTTCAAACTGAATAATACTAATCGACAGAAAATTTGTTGAGGATCCTAACCCTATTTGCTACATTAACAGTTTTCAATATTTCGACATCAAAGACTTCATATATGACATGATCATAGATGAAGCCTATTGGATAAAATATCAAGTTAAGCCTAACCATAAGTTGACTTAACTAGATAATGAAAAACGATAATAAAAAACCGGGTCTTAAGTCGCAAATAGGTGCTCAACACGATGCATAAAGTCATAAATATTCGTCACTGCGATGTTGCTGTCACCAAAAATTTGACTGTTAGTCACTTGTCAACGACGTGTCTATTACGTTTCGAGAAGTCGCTGCGACGTAACGTGTGACGAGTTGGCACGTCATAGAGACGTGTTTGTCACGTATTGTGCAGGCAGGGTATGTAATATATTCTAAATATACTTTATATCTTTAAAGTAGAGAGAGGGAGAGAGAGGGAGAGAGAAAGAGAGAGAGAAATGTAATATATTCTACTAAAATATTCACCTTCTTTATAATTCTAACAAGTTTTTCTATTTATAAAAGGTATCTCTTTATATATTTTTACTGACATTATTACCTTCTGATACGTTGATAAGTACATTGCAATAATAAAAACTGTTTGTAATAAAAATTTCTATAAAATAGTTGTGTATCAATTTGTGGTACTATTACATCAATTTATACATACATCTGTTGCGAAAACCAGTCCGATGAGGGTCAAGAATAGAAATACATAGAATGCCTTCATGGTTACTGTAGCAAGCGCAAAGGTTTTATACTTATAGTCAGAAAACACTAAATTTCTGCGAAGCGATATTCCTTCGAGTAAAAACAATTGACGATTGAAATATTTTGCTGTGCGTTTACTTATTACGAACTCCCTTATAAAGAAATACTGTATCTTATCGTTCTTTGAAATTTGTGCGAAAATTATAGTATAAAATTACTGTTGCTAAACTTTTAAAAACAGTCATTTTTTTATCATTAGTGAATACTATGTATTTATATACTTGCTACCGCTCGTGAATGTTCGAACACCCGCATAAATTTTATCGAATTGTCATAGAAATAATTAAGACATAAAAACATTCGTGTTATTTTTTTATTTAATCTATTAGGGGGTACTTGTACACTTTTTATGAGTACGAACATTGATTTCTTTATGCATAGTTAAATTTTTTAAAATATTTTACACAATAGAATTGAAATATTCAATAATGCATACGATATAGGGGGAAGTCGCCTATATCGTACCCCCTAACGTTTAAACAAAATTGTAAACAAAAGTCCTGAAAATATCAGAATATTTATGTATTTATATTAAACTTTGGTTCATTGGCAATAAAACAAAACGATACTTTTGCGAAATAAACATTACATTATTATTTAAATTAGATTTTTATAAAAAGTAGCTTTCGGTTTACGATTTGGAGACCGGGTCATTAAATTGTTCCACCTGGTTCTTAAATCGTACTTCTAATATAGCAAACAAGCTGACATTGCTTATTGTCATGAAATGACATCTTTAACGTCAAAATGACGGTAAATAACGTCAATTTGTTTATTGGGAAAATAAACAAATTTAATTTTAGAACTCATTCATTAATAAATTTATTTTTAATTTCAAACTAAGTGTACATATTTAAGTAGGTATAATAAAAATTTTCTACTATAAAAACAGGAATTAGACTGTGTCTTTTAAACTCATTTATGAAAACAAAATAAAAAGCAATACTTAAATTGATTTAAGCTATCATTGCACTCATTTCAGAATATTAAAATCTCAGATATTTTAACAAAATAAATTTTAGAAATAAAATCAATTACAGATTTTTCCGTCACAATAGAAATGATTCAATAAAAAGACTCAATAGAAAAATTTAATAGAAAGACTCGATAGTTGATAAGTAATAACTTTCTTGAGCGCTTATTTAAACAGTTTTGGCAAATGTCAGGATTGTCACTACAAGTTTCGTGCAACCATTTAGAGCACCAGAATCTAGTCCACTGTAGGTCCTTTTTTATCATAATAGTAACTTCCACATATTGCTCGCGTCACTTGCGATACAATATAAAGACCAGCGACAAATACGATTTACCCAACACCCTCTATTTTTACAAATTTGTCAATAGCAACGTAACTTATAAATTTTTTTTGTTAATTTGATGCTATACTCGAAAAAGTTTAAATATCAATTATAACCCTGAAGGACACTATAATTCAATTTCCCACCTTGTACTGTGATAACACCTTAGGTAAATTTTATTAAAACTTAGATCAGACACCGAACAAAATCAATTTTGAATATTACTCGTAAACAGATGATTCGAAGACAAAACAAAAATGATAGTTCTTAACCCATATTACCAGCGTCATTGTCACATCAGTGTCATTATCTTTAAAAAAATTGTTTCGTTTAGAAAATACAATGGAGGTATGATTTAACCGTTGGTACGACTTAGCCAACTCTCCCCTACAATATATTAGACTAACAAGAAAAAAAATTATTTATTTTATCGGCCTCTCAACTCAAAAGCTTCCATCTCATGCCAAAAGAACACCACTAAATTTTAATCAAAAAATATTAAAATTTAAAGAATCGTTAATGAACAATTTATAAATCAGTTTTGAATTTTGTTAATACATGTTTGATTTGATGTAAAAAAGACTTAACTCGGATTTTAAATGTGGTAATGTATATTTTTTTTGGTCGCTGAACACGATGTAATAATTCATTCAGCTCTCTACGATATACACTTAAAAAATACAGCCCGAATAATGTGAAAAAATCATCAAATTTCGAGTTTAAAGTCGATTTTAGCAATGTTTCAAGGCATTCAAATGTATTGTTACTCTCTGCAAATTGTAGGTCTGTTTACTCAGAACAAGATTTAATTGGAATTTTCTTGCAGGGCCTTTAATGGTTGCATCTAACTGGATTATAAAACATTTTTAAGGACAGAAACAATTTTTTTACAAGTTCTAAAGTATACCGCTTCGTGATTTTGACGTCTTCAAATCAAATGCCTCAATTTGACAATAAAAAACTCTTTATTAGAAAATGAAATGCACTGTTAGAAATTTCTCATAGAATTTTAATTAACATGTAAAGGAAGCATGTGGTTATGTACGAAATTAAATGTAATAAATGATGTAAATAGAAACTAAATTATATAGTAGTCTTAAATGTGATGAACGTGTGTATTGAAATTAATGAACACATTATTATAGAAATTAATTAACACGTTAATGAAAAGTACGAGATCTGTAACTGAAACATAATTTACGTTAATGACATGTGAGAAACGTAAACGTATTAAACGTTAAGCGTTAATAGTATTAGACTTAATTAAAATATTATTAATATTCGTAAATGTAAAAGTAAGGGAGACCGAGGCCGATTGTCACAGTTATTGAGTTTATTGATTTTTAGAAAAAAGTGGATGCCTGATATTGAAATATTATATACGTTACAATATACCTACATCCTTTAGGTATTAAAAAAAATATTACTCGTGAATTCATCATATCATAAAAATAAGTTATTTAATTTTAAATGATGCTGCGAAAATATGACAATTAACCCCGTGTTCTGGGTTGATTGTCACACGTTCTAGAATTGGCAGTAGCATATTTGTTATGGACAACACATAAAAAACACAATTTTTATTTTAATATTAGTTCTATATTTTGAGAAATAATAGTAATTATAGTATTAATACAAATAAAATAGTTATTTTAATCATAAAATACGTAATTTGTTTTTGTACCATACAGTTTCTACATGAAAAAATATATCTATATGAAATATAATATATTTGTAAGTATATATATTCTCTGAAAATGTGTCCTCCAAAGATATTAAAATTAATCGTCAGCTAATCTCATCTCATTTTGGTCAATCTACCTCACATAGCCATTTTTAATAAAAGAGATTGTATTCACAAACTTAGTCAGAATAATGATTACTTAATTGTAGCAAAGATTTTCTCGTATGTCATTTTCTATGACTACAGGGATATTACGATTAATAATGCCAAAGACTTGTCAGACAACAAAATAGGTGATTATAAAATTTACTCACCAACTTCATTTTCTCAAAAATCGCTAAATATAAACAATGCTTGTGGTGCAAACCATTTTACACAACAAATTAATATTATATCATCTATTTACAGTTAACGTTTAAGTTAAGCATATTGAAATTTAATATGTACTACAAACTTAAATTTCATTAATATGTACATTAATAGTTATTTCAATTAGGATTAATTAAATGTCATTTATATCCGTAAATGAAAAGTATATTAAATTTCATTACACTTAATTTTTCAGTTACTGTAAACTTAAATCTCATTAACATGTGCATTAATAGTCCTTTCAGTTACAGAGAAATAGAACTTCATTCACCAATGTACATTTAAATTTAATGAAATTTAAGAACATTTCTAACAGTGTGAGTACATGATACAAAAAAATATGATTTAATTTATTGAAATAAACTACATATATGTATATATATATATATATATCAAATAAAGACATTGTTGCCGGCGGCGGGAGCCTTCGATCTGGTTCCTCCGTTAACGACAATTAAGACGATTTATTTTTGCGCCGGGTTCGCTCGGACGCTTCGACGGAGCCCTCTCGACCCGTCGCTCTCCAGATTCGTACCGACCTTCGTCGCGCGAACTCGAACGGCTCGCAGCTTTGATTTTGGAAGCGATAACGCGATTCGCCGATAACATCGGTCCAGCAACGAGCGACGAATCAGGGGGTAACACACCGAGTACGACGAGGGCCTTTTTTCTGTGTCGAAAGACTCCCGTCGTCATCGGCACACAAACACTCGCTCTCGACGTCGACATTGCTCGAAAGTCGAATCAGCAAAGATTCGAAGCGAAGAAGTTTCTCGAGCGATCTCGACGACCGCACGAATTAACACTCTAATTCTGAACAACATAAATAAAAATAAAATTTCAATCGAATCATAATTGGTGATCCAAATTTGAAAATTTTGATAATAATACAAATAAATTTCCGAAAAACACATTTACATATTAAATCTTGCAAATTTTCGTATCAAGGCTTCTGACTATTCAGCCAAGAACTCTGCGTTGACGGTAGCGACACAGAATCAGACGGCGGTCTGGCGAAACCGGCAGTAATACATTCAAGTACGTGCTCATGTACGTGTGCTCGCCTTTGGCGCGCCGAGAGTGAACGAGACAACGAGCTCCTTCTCACACCTTGTTTCAAGCGACCGAAAATGCTTTCTCGGCAATCTCGGCCGCTCAGCGGCCCCCGGCGTCAATAAGGGGTGAGGGGCATCCTAAATAACATATAAGTTTTAATAAATTGTATTAGTATAAATTGTATTAGTATAATAGTATTAGTATAAAATTAATCCAGAACAGTATAAATTATGTTAAAACGCAACAGTTTACGAGATATTTAACTGTTTACGATTTTTCATGCGCGATATATACCTTCTTCGTAAACTCGAGTAGCAAGAATAGTTCAGTAAGATTAGAATTCTACCGGAAAAAAATTATAAACCAGCATTTCTCTTTAAGAAAATTTTCGAGAAGCAATCAGAAAAGAAATGCGTATGTTTCAGATTCGAGACTTGTGATAAAATAAGCGGAAAAAATCGAATAGTTGCAACAAGCACGTTTTTTGCTTATAAAACGAAAGATATTGATTGTATGGAAAAAAGTTTGGTATGAAAAATGTATTTATAAAATACCTACACTAAAAAAAAAGATTGGTTGCTGCAACAATTTAGATAGTAAAATATGACACAGCATTTTTAATCGGCTGCAGCAATCAGTTTTTGGTTCTAGCAGCAAATT